GACAGACAGGCACAGAGAGACACACACAGAGAGACAGACAGGCACAGAGAGACACCTGGCTTTGACAGGAGACCCCAGGCAAAGTTCTGGGGGCGCAGAAGTTCGTACAATGGGAAGTGTCAACATTTCACAGGCGTACGTGTAGAGTTAAAAACACAACTACCCTGGGCTGTAGAGAATTCCCCCACTCACTTCTCCTGTCCTCACAGTCACTCAAAATATGAAAAAATAAGCGTGGTGAGCTGGTCGGCACAACTCCTCTGGCTTATGAACTTATTTAATGTGACCCCTAACGCCACGAAACCTAAACAAATTCCCCCAGGGGGCAAGAAAGCTCGAATTGGAGACTGCGGGCAAAGTGGTTTTTGTTTTGTCGTGTTGCACTCACCCGATGAAACCTTTGTTCGATCAGGTTGTGACGTTTGTAAACGCGTATGTGTGTATAAACCCCTGTTTGTTGCGTTTTCCCCTGTTGTGTTTAAAAAAAAGTTTTGGTAGGAAACAGCGCGAACGAGTGCGAGCCCGACGGGGGGGGGGGAGAGGGGTGCAACCTCGAGAACGCGCACGTACGCACGTCCACGACGCCCCGCCGAGCGCTTTATCTTCGGCGCCCCCGGACGCCTGTTGCGTGACAGAGAACAGCGCGGCCGAGCCCGTCCGGCGTGCGCGTCCGCGGGAGTGGAGCGGCGAGAGGGGCTGAGCGGGTGTCTGTCTGTGCTTGTAAACAGCTGGGCCCGGCGGGGAGAGGGACGGACCGAGCCGAACCGGCACCAGCAGCAGCACCAGCGGCGGCGGGCCGGGACGCGTGGGCCTGGCAGGCAGGGGTGCAAGGTAAGAGACGCTTCGCTGCGCTTTGTGTTGTGTTGTGTTGTTGTGGGTCGGGAGTTTTGTGCCGACGGGGGGAGGCGCTAGCTTTCTGCACGGAGTTAGAGGGCGAGAGATGGACGGACCGGTTCGGGGGGAGGGGGTCGTGCAGCTCTGGGCTCGGTCCGGCCGAGCGCGGCGCCGGCGCAGCCCGACCCCTTGAACAGCGCCCGTTGGACCCGGAGCCGCCGCCGCCGCCCGGACTGGACTGGACTGGCGGCCTCGGCTCGTCCGGGCCGGTACCGGAGAGCTCGGACCGACCCGGCACCCGGGACCCGGCTGCGGCAGCCCCAGCGATGGGCAGTGAGGTCCCCGGCCCCCGGGGGGCGCCGCCTGACCCGTTCTGTGTGCGTTCCTCCCGCAGGGCGTCTGAGCTGAGCTGAGCCGGGCCGAGCCCAGCCGCCTGGTCCGGAGCGACCCGACACAGTGGGGACTCGAGTCCCGGAGGACGCCGGCTCGCCCCCGGATCTCACTCCCTTCCCACTCGTTCATCCGAACGGACCCCGGAACGGGGGGGCAGGAGGCCGAGACCCCCGGACGAACGCGTAGGGCGCCCCACTTCCCCCGCCATGGCCGCCGTCACGACCGGCGAGGACCCCGACATGCCGGACAACCACCGGGAGAGCTGGCGGGCCCTAGTTCTGGCGGCGGAGGCGCACGCCCAGAAGACGGGCTGCGAGGTGGCCCTGGTCACGGCCCGGAAGAAGTTCCGGCCGGTGGGGGCGGAGTCGGGGGCGGGGGAGGGGCGCGCCGAGTTCGCCTACCAGGTGTGGGGGCGGGGCCAGCTGGGGGAGGCGGCGCGCCGTTACCTGGACGACATCGCCGTGCTCCACAGCGCCTCCCTGGTGACGGCGCACCGGCAGACGCGCCGGCCAGGGGACACCCCCGCGGTGAGCACACCGAGACGACACATGAACCCCTCTCTCTCTCAGTGCAGTGTTCATGTACTGGAGTGTCCAGTCAGTGTGTGTGTATGAACCCCCCTCTCTCTCAGTGCAGTGTTCATGTACTGGAGTGTCCAGTCAGTGTGT